CCTCCCACCAGCTCACTTCCCCTGGATGAACTGCTTATCTCCTTACAGGCCACGGGTCCCACAGTCTAGGAAGGACAGCTCTGCAATTCAGGGAAGGTTTCCTAGGAACAGACGAAGAAAGGCTTTCCCGGTCCAGCGGCAACCCTGGTGAAACACGCCGCTTCGCTGCAGGCCCTCTTTCCGACTCCAGTCCTGCTTTGTCCCTGTTTTAAACATGATTCGAAGCCATGGGATCATGCTCCACTGTCTCACGTTTTGAACTGCCCCTGAGGTCGCAGGCATCTCCTTTACTACATTACTTTACTAACTTCTACATTAAGCTCTGTACTTGCCCCAAATGTCTACTAGTTGACACGGCATTTTTCTGGTTTGAATCCAGGCCCCATCGATGGACGGGGTGACCTGGGGTGAAAGTTACTCTCTCGGCTTCAGTTTCCCCATGGGCACATGGGATGGGGGCTGTTAACCCCACAGAGTGCTTGTCAGTGGGAAGTAGATGAGGCGTAAAGGGCTCTGTTTATTAACCATGACAGTGTTTCCTCTGGGACGGCGTGAACCCAGGTGCTTCCAGGTCATACACGCCCCCAACAAGTCCCAGATGTGTCACACTCCTTTCCTCCCAAGCTGGACACCAGGAAACAGCATTCACCTCCTTTCTCCAGGTGAATAAAATATTTAGAAAATTAAATGAAATTAAATCTGTGTAAATGAATCACAAAATAGTGGGATGGGCCTAGGGTTTGCAAGGGCTGTTCAGGAGGATTTTCACATTTTTTGTACTGTTTTGTACCCTGAATGGTCAGGGCACCTCAGCTCTGATGATAGCTGGCAAGACAGGAATTGGGGTGTGTGTGTGTGTGTGTGTGTGTGTGCACGTGCACACATGCGGGCACAAGTGTTTCCTCCCATATGTGAAGTTAAATTAATTAGGCCATACCAGGTAAGTAGAGGGTAAATCAGCCCTACTATTTGGACTCATAAGTTCTGGCACCTTCTATAAAAACACAGGAGGAGCCCTGGCCAGTGTGGCTCAGTTGGTTGGAGCGTCGACCCATACGCCAAAAGGTGGCGGGTCCAGTTCCCAGTCAGGGCACATACACAGGTTGCAGATTCAATCCCTGTTTGGGGAACGAGTGGGAGACAAACTGATCGATGTTTCTCTCTTACATCAATGTTCCTCTCTCTCTCTCCAGCTGCTGCATCTTCAGGGTCCAATGCAGTGTTGACACCAAGGCCACACTCCTCCCAGGCAGCTCCCCCCGGCCAGTGTGACCGCGGTGGGAATAAAAGAGCCAGGCCGTTCTTGCCCAATGGGGATGCCTCTGCTTCCCATGGGCCTGGCCAAATCTGTTTCAGAACCGCACCCCAGTCAGAGGCTCTCACCCACCCCCTCCTTCCCTTCTGGCCTTGTCCTCAAAGACGTTTACCGGCATCGTGGTGTGAGGCTCTCCAAGTCTGCTTCACAGGGGTTGCTCTTTTATTTCTAATTCTGTCTTGCTATCTGCTTCCTAGAGGACCTGGACTGACATAGCCTAGAATGAACGTTCTGGAAATGTTAGCCATTACTGTTACAATAGTTACGACTTGATTAAACTAATGACTCCACCACCAGAAGACACTCAGAAGCACCTACTCTTGACAATCTGAGCCGAGTCCCCAGCAGAGCCTCAGGCCTTGCCTAGACTGCGTCTGTTTCTCTGCTCCTGTGGCATCATTCCCAGCAGATCATTCATTCCTGCTTTCCCTAACGTTTCACTGTGCAGAGAGAATTTCAAAATCCCTGGAGGATTTGGGCAAAGCATATTGAAAACTTCAGAATGAGCTGGGAAAATGGGCCTCTGCAGCCTTTCATCTCAGCAAAAACAAACATCCTGGTCCTAAGAGCCTTAAAACGAGCATTGATAAAGGACCACGCTCACTCAACAGAGCCTTTCCCGAGGGAGCTCTGTGTCCATTACGGTCCAGCTAGTAATCAGCGCACGTGGGACGCTGATTAGTCTTGGGGGGGGAAATGATGGTCAAGACAGCAAGGGGAAGACAGAAGTGTCTGTGAGACACTCATCAGTCTGCAGCCCTAAAATATGTCCATTAGAGCACATGAACCCTTCTTGGTGGCAGGTACCATAAATACTGTTGAGAGACTGTTATGATGACAGCCACAAACTGCATCCCCCCGAGATCTAAGAGGCTGGTTCTAGGTCAGGGACCATAGACTCACAGAAAAGCTATCAACGATATGATGATGGCTGTGATGGGATGTTATTGATGGTCTGCTGACTGCAGCAAAGAAGCACCTGGAGGTCAACAGCAATTAGCTACTTGATAAAACTGCTTTGGAGACGCTGCTGCTGCAAAGATAGTCACAGGAGGCACAAGGGACCAGCAATCGATCCCAATGAAGCCCGCGGCTGCTTCTCTTTCTGAAAGCTCTTCTTCCGTCAGAATTAAAACTATGAGACTTTGGTCCCATCCGAAGGAAGGGGAAACAGCTTTGATCTGAATACTCACATAAGAGCCGTGGGTATGACGATCACCTAGGTGGACCCTGGCACACTCAGGGGTCAAGCACAAGACGGAGGAGAGGGGAGAAGAGGTGAACCCCAGAGATGGCCACAGGTTTCTCTCAATTCACAACGCCAACAGAGACTGGGGCTCGGCACAGCTTTGTAACTGTAAATTTTGTGTTTCTAATAAAATAACCTAAACAAGAAAGAGTCAACCCCATCACAACCTCACAGCCACCGCCTTTGAGGAGGGAAAATTACATCTAATCACTAGGAAAAACAAATGGGGTTGTAGTTACCCGTCTTTAGTACTAGGTACTCAATTGTGATTTCCACTCCGGGGAGATACACCTCCTGTACCAGCAGCAGCATTGGCTTAGGAATGTGCCAGACCTGGGCCTGAAGCGTGGCTCTGACCCTCCCCTATCTGTGGCCATGGGCAAGTTACTCCTCTCTCAGAAATTCAGTTTCCTCTTCTGGAAAATATGGATCAGAATAACTACCCAACAGGATTCTGTGAGACAAAAATACCTTCATGTATGTGAGGGATCTTAGCATCTTGTCCTAACAGATTTATTTAAAATCAACCGCAATCTATCACATCGCAGGTGACAGGTGCATAACCCAGAAAGGAAAGTTGCTGCCCTATGTTTACCTCCGGGCCTAAGACATAAGAAGGGTTATTTTTTACACACAGTTGTAACATCTCGCTTTAACATTAAAGAGTCTTGGCAGCATCGTAACAAGGCCACAAGATGGCTGGGTAACTTCATCATAATAACACAAATATCTCATCATTAATTTCTTTATTAAATTCTGGACACTGTTCTGAGTACATGGCACTGATTACTTCATTTCATCCTCAGCACTACTCTATAAGTCGGGACCACTATTCTCCCATTTTACGGATTAGAACACTGAGGCCCAGTGAAGTTGAGTAACTTGCATAAGGTCACACAACCCACAAGTGACAAAGGCTAGACTCATATAGGCAGTTTGATTTCCAACCCCATGTTCTAACAGGAATGCCAAAGATGGGATTTCCGGAGGAGCTAGCAAAGCTCTACTCCTTGACCTGGGTGGTGTTTGCCACATATTTTATTCATGTGGTTTTCTGAGCCGGTTGTATTTTATTTAAAAACATTTTAAAGTAATAATATTAGTAGCTAAAATTTTACCACTTGATGTTTTGGGCAACAATTGAGTATATATTTTGCATATCATGTGTTTGCAACCAGAGGCACAGAATGATGGCTCTGTAACATTGTAGTCACATTGGTCTCAGTTATTTTGGACAGTGGCACAGAAGCAAATGGAAATTGTCTTATAATCTGTGGTAGGAGGTGCTGTTGTTCACTGGAGTCCATTGGAAAAAATGCAGAAACAGTATAAGGAAAGTGTTTTTATTTTGTATCCTGAATAGCCTCCACCTGACTCTGTATTTTTCTCATTTATTTGTTTCTCTCTTCCTATATTTCTCTCTTAATTTCTCTCTCTTGCCCTTTATTTCATTTCCTCTGCCTTCTCTTTCTCTCCTCCGTTTCTCTGCTTAGCCCCATTCGCAAGCCGTGGTGGTCCCCCCTCCCTGTCTCTCTCTTCTTACATAGAACCTGAGACCATGTCTTCTTTATTTATTTAATATTGTGATATTTTATTCAGTCTTCGTTAAATGGTTGAATGGCTTATGTATAACCTTCTCTCCACTCCAGAAACCACCCTCCTGGATTAAGTTTCCATGGACACAGGTGCCTTAGCTATTCCCGGTTAATAAAAAGCCTCTGTACTTTATGGAAGCTGAGGACTGGAAAGGTTACTAGGTCACGGCCTTAGAAGAAAATGAAGTTTATCGGAGCGTAAACTGCTCGAGCTCATCTGCTTTCTCCCCACTTACCTGCTCTCTTCCCTCTCCTGCAGGCATGTCCCAGAGAATCGCGGGCCAGGGCTGAGCCCCGCTGTCACTAAGGACATCTCCGGAGGGGGAGCATATGCAGAGGCCTCGGCACTGCAAGTCCAGATGGGCCCTCAGAGGCTAAAACCGGCCAGAAAGATCGTCCCCGAAGCACAGGATCTCTGGCCTTCATCCCCATAGCTAACTGGTGCATCGAGATGTGACCCACAAATCTGATTATGAGGCAGGAAAGGCATTAAAAGTGCCCTTCTCCCTGCTAAAGAGACTCTGCATTGTTTGTCCAAAGCTGTCTATGGGGTGTTCCTCGGTGTACAGCACGGTGTGTTTCTCCCACCCTCCCGCTAATATGTACTGGATCCTCCAGCGCTTCCCCCATCGACGTGGCCCAGACCAGATCCTCAGAATTCATGGGGGGCCCTGCCTGCCCCAGGGCCCCCGAAACCAAGGCTTACCCTATGGAGCCTTTATAACAAACCCTAGTCCCCGCTCCCCCACTTCAGGCTATAAGACTTCTCGGTCCTATGTGGGGAGGCACAGCCCCATCAGCGCCCCGACGGCCCCGCTCCTCCGGCGGGAGCGGCGAGTACCTGCTGGCTGGCTCTGGGATCGGCCCCGACCGCCTCCTCGGGTCCTGAGGACTCGGCCTCCTCGCTCGCTTCAGAGCAGGAGTCGAACGCATCCGCATAATACTCCTCGGCCAGCAGCGGGTCTTCTGGGATCCCTGAAACAAAGGACAAACGACAATCACGCCCCACTAGTCACGACAGTTATAATGAGGCCAGGGTCCCCTGCCTTTTCCCTGAGATCTGTGTTTCGTTTGTACTGACAGAGCTTCCATGAATCAGCTTCTGGAAGCATCTGGCTGAAAGTAATAAATACTCAGCAAAATGAAACCAGCAGGGGAAAGGAGAAGTGACGGTGTTTGCAGCCACATTTTTAAGATGGGGGGAAGAAAAGCGATACATAAGAAGAAATGATCTCCTTGAACATCTTTGGGCGAGGGTCCTTATTGCAAACCAGGGGGAGCAGGAGCAGGGGCGGGGGCGGGACCCAATAACACGCCCACATGAAGTTTTCGCAGAGGAAGCTCTAGTGGAACTGTGCCAGCACTCTACCTGGGAATTTATTTTTTTTAAGAAAATATTGGTGGTGAGACCAGCCGCGATGGACAGTATACACAGCAGTGGCGTTTTGGGAAGCTGAGGAAAACGTCATGATGTTTTCTAACAAGCTATGAGGGCTTCTGAGATGAAGTTTACTCTAGGGCCCTACTTACTCGCATGCATACAGGGCACTGATTCAAAAACAGAGAGAAAGGAAAGGAAGAAAAGATCATCCAGGAAGCTGACGCCAAGCAGTGGCTGCCTCCGTCACTCGTAATGTTGTTGCTAACTAAGAATACAGCTGGCGCTTGTAACGGCCTTCAACCAAGAAAGACCAAGGATGGATCACACAGCAGCAGTGATACCAACTCCGCTGTGCTACTGGGAGCCTGGGAATAGAGAAATGTCCTTGGAGACCGGAGGAAATTACATGATGACTCCCCAGCACATTAAAACTGTGGGCACCGTAGGCTTTGCACCATACTCTGACTTAGGTAAGATTATTCTCCTAAATGGTAACATACAGCACTGTTTTTCAGCCTATTGCTCACAGGGTAGCTATGAAGATTCAATAATAAGATTGTTACAAAAGCATCTGTATAGGAAAATTTTACACAAATGTTCACTTAATTTCCACACCTGTAAAAATGGACTTTTAACAAACTGATTCCATATTCTTTAGAAAGTAAAATACTAGTGGCTGTAGTGCTCCCTGACAATGAAAGACTTTAAAATCTTTGCTATTTACGGTTTCCCATAAAACACAAGAGGCAGTACTGTGGAATCAAAACTAGTTGGCTCAAAAGACAAAAATTACATATATTCAAAACTCCCTTTGCCAGTTCCTCAGCAAGGGGCCTGTTGTGAACCTCATAGTTTCTCCCAGTGACTCAAACGCAGACTGTTTTCCCTTCAGATCACTGCTTTTCAGCTAGGCACCAGATGAAATAGATGGTTTGTATTGGGGGCAATGCTTTCTAACATTCTTTATTCCACTCACACTCACAGTGACAAGAAGATCCCAGCAAGAGAAGTGCATGAAAATTAAGAGAGGTGCCTTCAGGTCTCCAGCTTCTACCTCAAGTAGAGACTTAAGTTTGCTGAATGGAATGGTGCACAAAACCATATGACTTCCCACCCCTCCCC